AAGAGGAGAAATAGGAAGTTGTGGCCAGATACTGGCCACTCTGCTCTCCTCCAAGAGAGGATCATGGCTGTTCAGTCACGAAAATATTCAGTCACGTCTGACTCTCTGTGACCCCACTTGGGGTTTTCTTGGAAGAGATATTGGAGTGGTGTACCATTTCCTTCCCCAGATCATTTTACAGATGAGGAGACTGAGGCAAGCAAGGTTAAGTGACTTGACCAGGGTCATATAGCCAGAGATCTGTGCTAAGATAGAAAGACCAAAGCAAAACAGTCTCTGCCCTGATGGGAGGAAGCAAAGGGTACATACATTGATATATTCAAGATACATATAAAGCAGGTACAAGAGAACTTGAGAGGAGAAGGCTCCAGCACCTGGGGTTGGGGGAAGGTGGTGTTTGGAAGACTCAGAAAGGTCTCTGCTGCAAAAGCTGGTGTTGGAGCTGAGTCAGAAAGGAAGCCAGGGATTCTAAGAGGTGTTGGTGAGGAGGTGAGAGGCAATCAGTGATAAGGCAAAGAGACTGCAGATGGAGCATTGTGTGTAAGGAACAGGAGCTGGGTCAGCATGGCTGGGCAGTTGAATGAGTGGAAGGTATTGAGAGAAATGATTATTTCTAATTACTGATATCTATATTGATAATCTCATTATTAATATCTAATTAATTAATTAATTAATCCCCACACTGAATTAGGACTAAGATTTTTTTTCCCCTTTTTTACTTCCTCATTCAGAAATCAGCCACTGCAGGTTACTCAGATAGCCTTTGAAGTGCAGGGCTAATACTGAGAAAGAAAACTGGAAATTGTTCAAAAGGTAAAGGAATTTTAGTTTAGGTGAATTGATGAATTCCCACCCACTGTGTTTTACTCAGACAGGTCTGGGAAAATGCAGATTCTCCCATTTTTCAGATGAGTGATGGGGTATAGATAAGTCTCTTTTACTATAAAAACTAAGTGACCAAAGTCACGTGCCCCAGCGCCTCATTAGAACAGATCCACCTCTCATTATATATTCATCTTCTCTGATTATTTGTTAACCAATCAGAGTCGATTGCCACTCTTAGGAACACCCACTCTTCCAAGGACTTATAAGTGTTAGGTGGATTCCATGAAGGGTCTTTGGCATTTGAGAGTGTCACTGGCCCCTTTTATTAATTATATGCTATCACGATCAATAAAATTGTTAAAATCCCCGAAATTACATCTACCAAACTTTTTATACATCACATAGCTGTTGTTCAGTTTTTTTCAGTAGTGTCTGACTCTTCATGAGCCTTTTGGGGAGTTTTCCTGGCAAAGATACTGGAGTGGTTTGCCATTTCTTTCTTCAGCTCATTTTACAGATGAGGAAATTGAAGCAAATGGGGTGAAGTGATTTGCCCAGGGTCACACAGCTGGGAAGTGTCTGAGACCAGATTTGAACTCAGGTAGAAAAGTCTTCCTGACTCCAGACTCCATACTCTATGCACTGTGGGACCACCTAGGTGCACCCTGAAAAGTCCTATAATCGATACTATCATTTTCATGACAGCATTTTTTGCAGTCGTTAAAAAAAAAACTGGAAAGAAAGTGGGTAACCATCAGTGAAGAATGGCTTACCAAACTGTAGTATATAAATATTGTGGAGTATTGTTTCACTAATGAGGAACAAACATGAGGAATTTAGTGAAACATGGAAAGACTGGTACGAACTCTTTTAAAACAAAGAAAGCCCAATCAGTGGGTTGTAACCACTTATTAAGAGCTTACTTTGTGCCAGGGAGAAGGCTAAGCAATGACATTACAGGACAATTTAAGTACCAGGACCAATCTTAATCCAGGATGACAAATGATGAAACACACTTCCTTGTTCTTCTTGGCAGGGAAGTGAGGGATCATGGGTGCAGAAAGCGACGTCCACCATCAGATGAGGTCTCTCTGTCAGTTCGTTTTGCTTGGCTGCTTTTCTTTGTTATAAAATGGGGGAGGATCATCAAGGAAGGGAGGGTATTGTGTGATAGGACACAGAAGAAAATGACCACAGTGTGTTCCTTGAAAGCAGGGGTTGTCTTTTACCATTCTTTGTATTGCCAGCACTTAGCATGGTGCCTGGAACATGGGAGAGGCTTTTAAAAAGTACTTACTGGCTGATTGAAGACAGAAGTCCTCAATAAAACTTGCCTTTAAAATTTCAAATTATAGAGAGACAATGGTGAAACAAAGAACCCTGAACTTGAAATTAGAGATCTTGGCTTTAATTCTTAGTAAAGGCTTAATAAATGTTTATTTCTTTCCTTCCTTTCTGGCTCACATACTTACCTCATTTCATTAGGTCATTTCATCTCTCTGAGCCTCAGTCTTTTTGTCTGTAAAATGGGGATAACAATACAACCTACCTCATGAAGTTATTATGAAGAAACTGCTTTATTAACCATAAATCACTATTTTAAAAAACAAGAGCTAATGACCCATGGCAGATTCATCCAGTTAAATTCAGAAGGACATATTGCCAAGTGATGATGGCTAAGTGATAGTAATATATGTTAATATATAACATGTTAAATAAAATGTCAATATCATCTATTCTATATATTAATATATTTATATGTGATGAGATATTAATATGTATGTATATATGCATATGTATACAAGCATCCATATATTTATATTGTGCATAAATATATGTGAATTTCCTTGTGTATATGTACACATATATAGGTACACCCCAACAACTCATAAAAGACTGACTCATGAGGCTCCAATGGGCCAATCATGTGCATTGTGGGATGGGGTGACCACACTGGTCTTTGACTTCTTCCTCATTCTCATCATCTGACCATTGAGGAGCTCTCAGGTTGCTCTCCATCCATTATTTCCTTTGTCAGAGGCAGCATTCATGGCAGAGTGCTTGCTCACACCACACGCCAGAGCTCATTGACCCTGAACATGTCATATAACCCCTTGTGTGTCTTGAGTATTTGATCTCATGGGATCCTCCCAATAGCCCTCTGTAGCAGGTACATTCCACAGATCTTATCATCCCCATTTTCCAGATAAAGAGGTTATAGTGGAGATATAACTTGCCCACAGTCACAGAGTTATTAAGTATTGGAGGCTGTATTTCAGCCCAGATCACAATATCTATGAGAGGAGAGAATAACATGGGGGAATATGGGAAACTTAGAAGAGGATTTTCTTTTCCTGGGTTCAGACTTAGGATTTCGTCCTAATGGAGAACTCTCCATGTGGAAACTGAGGCAGAGCAGCATCTCGAGTGTGACTGATAGTTTGAAGGAGTCACCAAAGGCCCTGAGAGTTTGAGTGACTTAGTGAGTATCACACAGCCAGCGTGTATCATCAGGGCAACCTAAACCCAAGTCCTTCTGACTCTGGTAGCAATTTTTCTCTCCACTATACCAGTGATTCTCAGAATGTGGTCAAGGTCCTGAGGGTCCCTGAGGGTCCTTGAGGTCAAAATTATTTTTATTATCATACTAAGACATTTTAATTTCTAATAAGGTAAATGTTAATAGCTAACCCTCATTGGTGGGTCCCCAATATTTTTTAAGAGTGTAAAGGGGCCAGAGACCACAAGGTCTGAGAGCAGTGGCACGATCCACTGCCCTGAGGGGACATGGAGTAATGTTAAGGACGCTTACATTCCTCACATAGGGAGCATGGAGGTGACTTGACAAGAATGTGGCAATGTGGCCGCTGGTGCTGCTGTTTCCTTGGTACTGGGCCGGTGACATCATCGACATAGAGAGCTCCTGTGAGGAATTCCCTCCTGCAGGTCTTGCTTAGCGAGTGATCCAGAGCACAGGGACACCAGGTGACCTGCCAACTGTCACATAGGCTGTGTTCAACTCCCCACCTCAATCACAGACTGACTCTTTCTTGGCTAGGAGGGAGACATAAGAGATTCTCTCTTAAGTTCCCCCTTCGATGCCTGATCCGTGGCACCTGGTGGCCTAAAGTCCTCATAGGCTATGCCAATGGAGAGAGAGTTCCAGCATTTCCTACCAAGATAACAGGGACCAAAGTCCAGGCTGATGACAGACTGTGGGTCAGTTGCCCTGACCAGACTAGCTGAAGTCACAGAGGCCTATCACTGAGTTAGAAATCTAGGGGCTACAGCAACTCCCAAGGCCATCTGCCAAATCATGCAAGGATTATAAATGGCATCATAAGGGCAGGGTGTGCCCACATTGATAACATCAGTGAAGCATTGCAATCGGACTGGGCTATGGAGAGGAAGGGGGAAGGGGCAGGGACATAAGTGGATAACAAGGGAATAGGGTATATACGACATTGGGAGAGAGAGCTGGGGGAAATGTGGGCTAGAAATATTTAAGCTATAGTCCCTGAGATATGAGAAAACACTTCCCCCACACCACTTTGCAGAGGTGGGGGTCCATGGATGTGGGACGTTGTATATGTTGTTAGATTCTTGCATGCATTGTTTCACTGATTTTTGTTCTCTTTTTTTTTTTTCTTAAAAAAAATCTGTTACATAAGATGGCTTTCTGAGAGAGACATGTAGAAGGGATACAGGAGAATTTTTAAGTGTTGTAAAACCAAAAGATTTTAAAATTTTATTTTCCTAAAATGAAAACAAATAAATGTCCAAGGAATGGAAAAACAGAGTATTCAGCTACGGCAGGGTCCCCCAAAAGAAACAAACAAACAAACAAAAAAACCTCTGGAAGCAGGTGTGAGGTGTGACTTCATGGTTTCTCTTGATAGGACGCTGGCCAGTATCTGAGTCACTCATTCTATTATAGGTCAATAATGCTTTCTACCTGGAGTCTCTGAAATATTCCCCAGGGACTGACACCTCTTTCCCTGAATCCTTCTATCCCTCCCCTCCCCTATAGTTTTTCACCTCTGAGATTGGGTAGGAGGGATAGAGGTTTCTAGCCCCCAACTTTTACCTTTAACTTTTACCTCAGCCCCAAAACTCAGGATGTCTCTCCTTTCTTAAGGCAAAGGCGTGAGATATGCATGTAAATACAGACAGGGTTGTGGATATCACATTTATTGGGAGTTCTGCCCCCAGGTACCCCACCAAAACACACACACACACACACACACACACACACACACACACACACACACACTCAACTCCTCATAGTTTTCCGGATCCAGGGGATAAATTTGCAAACTTCGGTGTAGACTCCAGGGTCATTGGGCTGGCCACAAGGGAAGGTTCCCCATGACACCAGGCCCTGCAACACTCCATCACACACCAAGGGACCCCCAGAGTCACCCTGGGAAGAGAGAGAGAGAGAGAGAGAGAGAGATGGAAGAGCCCACCCTAAATTTCGTAGAAAATGTCTTCTGGCCTTGAGTAGACCCTATGTTCCCAAATCCCAGTTTCACGAGCCCAATGCCTGGTCCTGCTCGATAAAGTTCCTGTGTCTTTACCAGCAAGAGAGAAGACATTGTTCCAAGGGGTCCGGTTGCAGGACAGGGTATGGGGAATCAGCCATGGACAGTGACCCTCCCCAGATGATGGGAGATATTGTCCCTTGGGGCCAAGCCCTGGTTTCCCCTCTCACTGTCTTATTTGGTGGAGAGAATGCTGGCCCCAAAATGCCTTCAAGCTTGAATCAACTTTCAAGACCATCTCATCCAAAGCCCTTGTTTACAAGTGAGGAAACTAAGGCACAGAACATTTAAATGACTTGCCTAGGATCACACAACTAATAAGTAGCAGAGATGGGATTTGAAACTGAATCTTCCTGCTTCCAAATCCAATGCTCCACACAGTACATCAGGCTGCCTCATCATTGGTTCCCCTAAAATCCTCCCTTCCTGCCTTGGGCAGACAAGGAAGGGGAAACAGTAGGCAGACTCCCAGGCTGTGAAACAGGAGACTTCATTTCTAGCCTGTGTCCTGTCACGGACTTGCTAGTGACCTTGGACAAGTCCTTTCCCCTCAGTTAACCTCCCTATAAAATGGAGGACTGGATGATCCCCAAGGGCACTTCCAGCTTTGAATAATAATGGCAAATCACGTTTCTTTAGTGCTTTGAGGTTTAGAAAGTGTTTTCTTTGCAATATCCCTGTGAGATCAAAAGTGAAAGTGCTTTTATCCCCACCTTCCCAAGATTCTGGCATTGACTGACTTTTCCAAAATCAGAACGTTAGTAAGTGAGCGAGCTGGGACGCCTACCCAGGGCCTCTCCACTATAACTGGTTGCTTCTGAAGTCTAGAATCAAGAGGGACTTAGGGGAAGAGACATAGAGAGAGAAAAAGAAAAGGGGAGTTGGAGACAGATGAAAAAGAGAGAGAAAGAGAGGAAGAGACAGGGAAATGAGAGGGGAAGACAGAGAAATAAAGATAAGATATTAGACATTACACAGAGGCAGAAATAGAGACGGGCAGAGACAGGAAGAGACAGATTACACACACAGGTTTGTAGCCTGGGAACTCTCTGACTCTGAATCTTGCCGTTCCCTCAGCCCTCGCCTCCAAACAATTCTATTGTGGTTACCTCCCCCATGCCTCTCCCATCTGGGTCTTCTCTCCACCCTTACTGCCATCCCCCTAGTTAAAACCCCAATTCCTTCCTGCCCGGACTATTGTAAATAACCTGTTCATTGGTTTCCATCTTAATTGTAGTAACCTCCCCTCCCCAAAGTATCCACTAAACCAGTGATGTCCAACTCAAGTGGAAATGGGGACCACTAAGTCATACTCTAGGACCCCTGTGGAGTCACATATTGACTTAGAGAGACGCACATTAACATTATTTATGCTCTATTGTGTTTTCATTTATTTTGTTAAATATTTCCCAATTAAATTTTCATCTGGCTCAGGACCCAATCTGGAGTGTTAAAAGTGCCTGGGACTCTCCCATTCTAGATCACTGCCTGTGATTTAGATTCTTCTGACCATACCATTCTGACCGTGGCACTCCTCAAGAATCTTCAGTAGCTCCCCACTCTCTAGTGAATGAAGTTTTGATCTCTTAATTGGGGTGCTCAAAGCCTTCTATGAACTGGCACTAATCTACCTGCCGAGCCTTATCTTACACAGCCTCTTTCACATATGCTATTTAGAGGCAACTAGATGGCAAAGTGGGTAGAGTGCTGGACCTGGCGTCAGGAAGACCTGAATTCAAATCTAGTCTCAGACACATACTGGCTGTGTTACTTTGAGTAAGTCACTTAACTTCTTTCCATCTCAGTTTCCTCAACTGTAAAATGGGGATAATAATAGCTCTTCTTCCAAAGGCTTTTTTGAGGATCAATGAAATTATATTTGTAAAGTGTTTTGGCAACCTTAAAGTGCTCTGTAAATGCTAGGAATTATTATTTTACCTTCCAGTCAAACATGTCAGTTGCCTTCCTCAGTCAACCTCAAAGATTCCCTGTGTTCTCCTGACTCCCTGCTTTGGACCACAATAGTCTCATGCTAGCCTGTGTTCTCCACCAGGATAGGTGCTTGGAATCTGTCCCTCAGGGTATTGTAAGCCCCTAGGGAACAGGGGGTCTCATTGTGTCCCTAATACATCATTGTGTACATGATACATCATGGTAAAGGACCTCAAAGGTAATCTGGTCCAACCTCCACCCAGCACATAATCAACTCTAATATACCCCTTTATTATATTATAGCCCAGATGCCGTCATCCAGCCCTTTTTTGGAGACCTCCGGTGATGGAAAATTCACTTTCTTATATGGCAATCCATTTCATTTTGCATGGCTGTAATTGTTAGGCAGTTTCTTTCCCAGGGGTACAGGAAAACAAGATAGGTTTTTTTGTTTGTTTTGTTTTGTTTGTTTGTTTGTTTGTTTTAAATCAGCCTTAAACAGAAAGGGTGAGAATGTACATCTGGGAGAAAAAAATCCAGGGGTCTAAGTTGACCACAAACTCAATATGTACCAGTCATGTGCGACAAGGCAGCCATAAAAGCTAGGACATAATCTTCCTCTCTACAACTGTAGTTAGCCTTACTCCGCTGGCTTCTAGTTTTGCCCCCTGAAGCCAAGCAGAACAAATCTCATCCTGCTCCATTGTTCTCGATTCTGGAAGACCAGTCTGTTCTTTTCAGTGGTTACCTTTCCCAATTCTTTCAACTGGTCTTCAAAGATGTATTATCTAATTGTCTTGTCAGTCTCATTACCCTCCTCCAACCTGTACTTTACTGAAGTGGGATATGCAGAGGGCTCCAGATGTGGTCTGACCAGAGAAAAGTATAGTTGAGTGATTACCAACCTTGATCTGAGCACTATACCTTTCTTCATAAACTTTAGGGAAGCATTAACTTTTAGAAATGCCCTGTGCATAGTTGGTACATATTGAGTGTGTGGTCAACTCAGACCCCTGAATTTTTTCCCCAGATGTACATTCTCACTCTTTGCATTTAAGGTTGATTTTTAAAAAGTCAACTATCGTAGTTTTCTGTATCCCTAGTATAAATTCATATAAATCAATTAAAGCTATTGTTCCAGGCTGCTGATCCAGTCTGGATCCTGACTCTTTCATCCAATATCTTAGGTACCCCCTCCAATCCTCCTGTCACCTATGCATTTGACAAGCATACCATTTTCCAAATCACTGATTAAAAAAAAAAATTAATGGCACTGGGCCCATGGCAGATGCTTGGGGCAATCCCTTAAAGATTTTCCAAGCTTACCTCATTCCAATAAGATAAGCACTTTACTAGATACACCTAACTATACTATGTAGCCCACATCTCCAGCTTCTTACCATCCTTCTTCATATGATATTCCCAGAACTGAGCACAATACACCATATACCATTTGGCCAGGGTAGATTACTAAGATACTAGCTGGTTCCTCATTCTTGACCTTTCCCTTTTATTCAGGCAGCCTAAGTATTTTGGCCCCACTTGTGGCTCACAATGCAGTCTTGTTCCCCTAACACCTCAATTTGATTCACATGAATAGCTCTCTAATAATGCTTTCCCATCTTATACTTGGGAAATTGACTTTTTGAACCCAAATTTGTAACTTTACATTTATCCCTATCTGATGTCATTTAGATAGATTTGGCCCTATGTTCTAACCTATCCAGTTCTTTCCAGACTCTGCTATCTATTATGATAGCATCCTCTTATCATCTGAAAAGGCAGTAAGCCTGCTATCTATGGCTTCATCCAAGTCCCTGGCAATAAAAGCTAGCATTTATAGAGGGTATTAAGGTTAGTAAAACTCTTTACACGTATTACCTCTTTCAAGTCTCACAACAGCCCTGGGTAGTAGGTATTATTATTATGCTCATTTTACAGAGGAGGAAGCGGAGGCAGGTAAAGGTGAAGCAACTTGCCCCCCAGGTCACACAGCTAGTCTGGATTTGAACTCAGGTCTTCCTGACTATATATCTAGCATTCTGTCTACTGTGCCACCTAGCTGCCTATAAGTATCAAATAGTAGAAAGCCAAGAATAGATCTCTGGGGCCTTCCAGGGAGGGAGAGAGAGAGAAAGTGAGAGAGAGAGACAGAGACAGACAGAGACAGACAGAGACAGAGACAGACAGACAGAGACAGAGAGAGCTGAAGAGATAGAGAGAAAAGAACAAGAAGGAGGAGGAGAAGGAAAGAAGATAAGAGAAGAAAGAGACAGTGAGAGAGAGAAAGGAGAAAGAGAGGCACAAGAGAAGAGGAAGAGAGAAAGAAAAAAGAAAGAGTGAGAAAAGAGAGAAAAAAGAAAAAGAGAGGAGAGAGAAGAGAAAGGAGAAAGGGAGAAAGGGGGAAAGAGGAAGGTCAGGACAATGTGGAGACTTACATTGCATGCATTGGTTTTAGAGTCTGGGATACCAGCGCACAGCATTGATTCCTTCAATAGATCCTTGTAAACCTTCTTGCAGTCCGAAGTGGAAATGAGGCTTACGTTTGTACACTGGAGCTCTTCTGGATAGGTTGCTGTTGGGGATGGGGGAGAAGGGCAAGATCCTCACTCATCCAGCCGGAATAAGGATGCATGAAGCCTCAAGGCAGGGAGAGGAAGGGGGGTGATCCATAGTTGCTCTAATCCCATGACCCTGGTGGTCAGGGGCTGGGGATGCCCAATACCTAGGTCTCTAATGCAGATGGGAGGGAGGATAAACACTACTATCCCTAAGTGATAGAGATTGGGGAGTTAGAAAGTACAGGTTTTTCCAGGAGAGTGTGATTTTGGGGAGTGAAGGTTCAGATTTGATTCCTGAAAGTCAGAGGTAAAGGGTTATAAAGCTCAGGTGCCTCATTATCCAGGAAATAGGCTCTGGTGGTCCTGAATGCCCGTCCCTTGCCAAGAGAGTAGGATTGAGGAACTGAAGGCTCTGGTACCAAAGGGCAGGGGACAGATAGACAGGGATCTCACATGTATGGTTCTCCAGTGGGGAGGGTTGGGCTGGGAGCAGGGAAGGGTCAGGAGGCCTAAATTCCTGAAAAACGTGGCATCTCAGGAAGTCTGGACTCTCAGGGCTTAAGCAGATAAGGGGGTTGGATTCTTGGGTCCTTACAAAGTGGTATGGAATGAGATGCCTGGGTTCCTGGGGGCTGGACAGCAGACTTACCGTCTGGGCTGGTGGTGGTACCCCAGCCAGAGACAGTGCAGGAGGTGCCAGGTGAGGCACACTTGGAGGGTAGCGTGACGGGCTTAATGTTGGTCCCCAGCGTGGCTGCCCTCTGTAGCTTTATCAGCATGAGGTCATTGACATGGGTGACGGTTGAGTACTGAGGATGCCGGTATGACCTGGTAGCCTGGATCACTTGGGACCCCCTCTCTCTGTCCTTCAGATTGTGTTTGCCCAGGTGCACATTGTATGAACTAGGGAGTCAAAGAGACTATTAGAAGTGTGCTGAGCCTGAAAGCAATAGGCAGAGATTCACAGGGATAGAGACAGAGGAGGGAGACCCACAGAAACAGACAGAAACAGCAAGAGGAGACTTAGGTTTGATTTTCTGACCCTGTCGGTTTCTAGTCTTGGACAGGGGCAGGTAGCGGTCACCATAGTACATATTGGAATCAAGAAGACTCATCATCCTGAGTTCAAACCTGACCTCAGACACTTCCTAGCTGTGTGACCCTGGACAAGTCACTTCACCCCGTTTGCCTCAGTTTCCTCATCTGTAAAATGAGCTGGAGAAGGAAATGGCAAACCACATTGGTATCTTTGCCAAGAAAACCCCTAACGGGATCATGGAGAATCAGACACCACTGAACAATAGAAGGCCTTGGACAAATCATTTCATTTCTCAGGTAAGGCCCTAATCTCTACCCCTATAAAATGAGACGTTGGCCTGAAACAGGAGCTCTTAATTTTTTTGTTTATTTTGTTTAATAGACCCCTTCTCAGAATACTTCATGTTGCCTGCATTCATAGTTAAAGGAAATGTTAAATTTCAGTTAGAGGCTAATGGAAACACTTCCCCATCCAAGATCAAAGCCCCCTGAAATCTGTCCACAGACCCCTTGGACCCAAGGCTAAGAATCTCTGGACTATTCTTATGTTCTTAGGCTCCTGGAAAGAGAGAACAGAGAAACAGACAGAGAGACTGGGAGGAAGGCAAAGATGGAGATACTGAAGCTGAGACACAGAGATGGTCAGTGATGCAGAGAGATTGAGAGAGGCACCAGCAGAAATGGAAACAGACAAAGGAGATAAGCATTTCAAGACCTGAAAAGAAAGACAAAAACACAAAGGGAATTTAGTCCAGAGTCACTGGGTGCCTTTGGGCAAGTCACATCCCTATCAGAGCTTCATTTTCCTCATTGATAATACCACTGATAACAAATAATAACAATAACAATGATAATGATCCCTTACATTTTCCCGGCCCTTATTCATTACCTTATTTGATCCACCCAATCCTGCCTGGTTGGTAGTAGAAGTGTTATTATGCCCATAGTGAGAAACTGGGCAGAGGAGGCCAAAGTCCAACCCAGGCCTGCAGGCTTTAAGCCCAGGATTCTTTTCACTGCATTGTTGATTCCAAAACCAGAATAGAGAAAGACAAGACTCAGCTGCAGACAGATAAGACAGGCACTTAAAGACAGAAAGACAGAGAGACTGAGGCAGAGAAAGACAGGGACAGACATACACACATAAAGACAGATAAGTCAGCACAGGGAGACACAGACAGAGACAAAAAGACAGAAAAACAAAGGACAGAGACAGAGACAAAAAAAAAAATTAAGGAGACAAAGACACAAAAGAGACACAGACAAAAAGAGATTGAGCAAAGAAAAGACAGAAAAGAGAGACTCTCCTCCCGTATTACAGCCCTCACCCCTTACTTCATCATGCAGTGGGCAGCTGTGAGCACCCAGTTCCTAGCCACAAGCACTCCACCACAGTGCAGCTGATTTCCATTGAACAGGGCCACCTGCCAGGGGTGGGAGCCCCGGCTACACTCCTCTCCATTAATGATCTTGTCTCCTTTCCTTTCAGACTCTGCAAGAAGAAACACAGGGGGATGAGGGCAGGGAGAGGGAAAGAGGGGAAAGGAAGGGGGAAAGGGGGAAGGGAGTGAGGAAGAGAGGAAGGGAGAGGGTCTCAGGACCACTGAGATGGGGAAGCCCTGGTTTGGAGAGACTGAAGAGGACCAGGAGAGAGTTCCACTCAGAGACAGAAGCTGATATAGGGACAGCGAGAGAAATGGGGGGTGGGAGGAGCCTCTAGGATATTGGTAAGGGTGGGGAAGACATCCTGACCTGGGCATGTGGAGATGTCTCAAGTCAGGAGAATGAAAGCTAAGGAGAAAAAGAGAGATCGAGGGGCATAAAGACAGATATATAGACAGAGTGAAGGAGGGGGGCATCTCAAGAACACAGAGATGGGCAGAGGTATGGATTGAGAGTCAGAAGTGAAAGATGGTCCATAGGAAAAACACATAGGAGTAGAAAGAAAAAAAAGAGTTCTTCTTGGACATAGAGTGGAGGGCTGGTGAAACAGAAGCTGGTTTGGGTTTGTTATAGAGTATCAGAGGGAAAAACAGACAGACAGAGACAGACTTGGAATGGTAGAGGAAGGAAGCTTCAGAGATGATGATGAGATCCCACTAACCTGGGATATTGGGAACCAGGGAAGTGTTGTATGGTCAGGAGACTATACAGAAAAACCAAGATAGAGACATCAGTAAAGAGAAGGAAGGAAGGAAGGAAGGAAGGAAGGAAGGAAGGAAGGAAGGAA